GAATATAAATAATAGAGTTTTCTCATCTCTTTATAATCTATCTGACAAACTCAGATTAAATCTGGTTTGAGTCTCCAATTCCTACTTCCAAAAAGAAATGGTAAAGAGTTCCTAAAACACCAATCCAATGGCAACAGGATCACCTTGAATGCTGTATAGTTAGGTTTAGGGGAAAAAAAAAACATGAAGATTTTTGCATCATAATCAGAGATTGCTCCCTCCCTGAGCTACTGATCACAGGCTTCATGATGATCAGGGACTTCAATGGAGCTGCTAGTGATGTCCCTGGCTCTGCTCTGAGACACTTTCTGACAGACCAGGACTTACTCTCATGTAGGACTAAAACTGCTGGCTGAGTCACTGGTTTTGATAAATACTGAAAGACAAAAAATGTGCTGGCACCATATACTACCATGGGAAGTACTTGGAAATGTTGACTTTAGAATGACTTTAAACATAATTTTAGCAAGTCTTAATAGTCTTTCTATTGAATATGTGTATATTCTCCAAACACGTTTGCTACAGATATTATATAAGCATATGAGTCACATTTCTTGCATATCACCTCAGTGCAACTGGAATAACCTCCCTGAAACCAGTTCTTTTTGGTTTTCTGCAAATCTATTGGTTCAATATAAGTCACAGAAGTTCATTTTTCAGGGATTCAGGGAAACTTTTTTGACAAAAATAATGTACATCAGGTGCAGATATAATGGGCTCCACTTCTCCTCACACTTCTGGCTTTCTCTTGAACCACAAGGGATCTCACAGGTGTGCATCAGACACTCCAGTCTACCTGTTGGGGCTATGCCCATATGCATGCAAACACCTGTCCCTAGGCTTAGCGCAAACATACAAGTGGCAAAATCTGCTATTAGGGGGAAGGATGAGCCCATGAAGTCCCATGTTGTCAGGGATTTTCAATGTCCTGGGGGTAGGATGGAGGTCTTGTCCATTTCTCCTTGCACACTAGGTTCTGTGCTCCATGAAGGGAGACATGGCTGGAGGTTAGCACAGGCTCCTCTACAGCATGAGACTCAAGCCAGGGGTCCCTCCTGCCTAGGTCCAAGGCATACACTGCAGCCACCCAAATTTTAATCCTTCAGCCTTTTAAAAATTGTATAAATCTTTATTCTATATAGGTACAAGTACATGTATTAGTATATACTCAGCAGCAAGAATCTAATATCCCCTAAAGACACCTGAGTGTCTTACTAGAGACAGCCCAGTACAGTTAGAATCTAAAGGGCATGGAACCCTAGAGATTATCCCTCAACTTATTAGGTGGTTACAAGCAAAGTCATTTGGCCTATGTTATATACTAATGACAGCTAAAACTATAGTCCAGACTCATAATGCTTGTCCTAAGTTAATTTCTACCCAAAAGGCCTATGTACTGAGTATGAACAACAGAAACATTTCATTAAAATATTAAATATTAAAGATCAGAGTATATATAGTGTTATACCCCAAGACAGTTGAAAAGCTCACCTGTCTAGAACAGCTAATTTCTCAATTAATTCAGAAAAGATGTTTCTTCTTGAATGCTGGCAGAAAGCATAGTTCAGATATTATGAAGCAGCAGTTCCAGTTCTATCACGTGAGACTTTAAAATGAAATAAATACTGCTAGCTGCCCCTGTAAAGATCTAGGATATATGTGAGAACATTCTGAAATTTTTAGAAAGACTGTAGGAATGCAAGCTATTGTCAATGGTCCACATAGAAATTCCATGTATTATATAAATATACATATATTAACGAAGTTAGTTAGCTTAATAACTAAATAGAAAAAAAATTTGTCTAATAATGCACTCATTCTTTCATTTGGAGAATTCTAATTATCTGTGAAGAATATGAAACCTCTTCTAAAGTTAACACCAAAATACAGTGGGTTACATTGTCAACTTCTAGTGGAATTATAGCAATGCCATATTTCTGAATCTCTATAGCTTTCTGTTCAGGATTGAAGGTAAATTCATACAGGAAATTCTTTTTTTTTTTTTAAATATTTATTTTTTAGTTCTCGGCAGACACAACATCTTTGTTGGTATGTGGTGCTGAGGATTGAACCCGGGCCGCACGCATGCCAGGCGAGCGCGCTACCGCTTGAGCCACATCCCCAGCCCCAGGAAATTCTTTAATGAGCCAGCAGAGAGGATTATTATAATCATAAGGCACAAACTATGAACTTGGGTTCAAATCATTCCTACACTCCTAACATGAAACTGAGCTACAGCATACAGCTTTCCTGACTTTGAGCAGATACTTGTCAATGAATTAATCAGGACTAAGGTACAGAGTGTACTCAAGACATTTTTAAGGTATTTGCTCTAGCAGATCCTTTGGCTTAGTATCACTGGGTAGCTATTTAGGAATATTGAGACATTAAATGTATAGGTAATTTCTTCCCTATTTTTATTACAACTTAGCTACTTATATTATGTGTTGGCATTTGTCAGTTTATTCATTAAAAATATTTCCTGAAAACCTATCAAAATAAACAAGGCTGAATAAGACACAGCATTTACTTTCAAAGGAACTTGCAGCCTGATAAATAAAATCCTGAAATAACTACAAACAAGTTAGAAAGTGGTATCATGAAAGATATTAATAAGATGTTACTCTAGTGATAGGGCTCTAGTTTTGGAGGGATACCAGAAAAGGGCATGTGATCAATCTTTGAAAGATAAGTAATATATTAGCATTTCTCATGGCTGTAAAAAGTCAGTTTCAAATCAGTTAACTTTTAATCCCTTTAACATTGCACAAATTAAGTTGATTCCCAGGTTCCATATGACATAATCTACTAAAAATGTGCATTTCCAGGAAGTGGAGTGTAGTCTCTTTCAGAGATACTAAAAATACACACCAGCTCAGTTTGAAAAACTGTGATTCTAAGTTTTTATATGTTACTAAGTGTAGGAAAATCAAAGCATCACTATATTAAATGGATTTTTCCTTTTCATACAAAAAAATATCAAACGGGAAAATTCTAAATGCAGCAGCTTACAGAAATGTAACTTTTATTACTGCCATTAAATTCCGTCTATCACTCTTTCAAATCAAGTCTCTCCCAGCTGCTAACATCTTTGACTAATGCCACCACAGGAATATACAGTACACCATACAGACTAGATACAGAAAAAAAAATGTTTTATGCTTGCCTTTCCTGTTTTCTCTGAATATAAAACATTTTGTCTGCATTTTCCTGTTTAAACATACCAACTTCCAGCATGAATGGAATGTTAATTGATGTTACACATGAGTTAGGCCATCATTCCTCAAATTTAACAAGCAAAAAAGAAAAAAGAAAAAAAAATCAAAATAAAACCAACTGGGTTTCCTGCTTTTACTTATGGTTATCAGTGCCCACTTGGGGGGATTAAAATCATGTCCGGCTTAGTTACAGCTCATCCTTCCCTCAATTAATGTACCCAAGGAGACCAGTTCCTTCATCTGCTCCCCTATTACTGCCCTGATCACAAAGTCTATTCAAGTTTCTCCCCAGGGCCCCAAAACAACATGTGCAATAATTTCCTAGGGAAGCCCAAAGCCTACCTCACCCTTCCCACTGGGGAAACACACAGACTCCGCCCTTTCTGGTCCGATTTTGTAAGAACAGAAGAGCTTACTTGGCCCTGCCCAAAGCAGAGACCTAGCCTTTTAACAACAGCTGCTGTTTTATCTTCTCAAAAGTATTGGTGTATGCTGGGCAAAGAGGAAAGAAGCAGGATTTATCTTTTAACAACTGAAACATACTTCAAGGAATCCTCTGGAGAAATCCTGATGCCCCGTCAAAGTACTTAATGCTGGGAATGTAAGGAGTTCTAAGGTTGTAGTATTCATACTTTGAGTGGGGGGAAAGGGTGGATGGAGAATATTTTTGCAAGTTGGACTTTTTTCCTAAGGCAAGTTACCTGTCTCAGAGAATTTCCAACTTCTCTCCCATATTTCTACTTCTCAGCTGAAGAATTACTGGGATTCGAGGGAACATTTTGTTATTATTGTTGTGGAGAATGCTAGCTTCCTTGAAGCATATAAACTAAATGCCAGAAGCAGCCATCCCTCCCGCCAGGTCACTGTGATGACCAAAGATGCCACCATATATTTCTCAACAGTGTCCCCCATCCAGGGCAGTGCTGCCCCTGATTTGAGAACCTTTTCGCACACAACTCCAAAATAAATTGCAAGGCAAGGGGACATTCCCTGGCTTTTCTATCTATGTATGAATTCACTATATATAAAACAAATCTTTCAAAGAAAAGGGTTATTAATACTCGCTTCCAGGCTGTTCTTTTTGTAGTTTGGGTACAGAATTTAAAAAAAATTCATCTCAGAAACAATGAACTGCAAGGAGGAATAGAAACTAACCAAAGTCACTACTATGCTTTTGCACCTCAGTGAGTGAGACAAAGAACAGGATATTATAATTGCCATTTTTTTTTTTTCCCCAAAACAGACCCTTGGTTCACTCTTTCTATTCTGGCTTAGAGCTGGCAGGGTGGGGCTACTTGTCCAAGGATCATCCATTTTCACTGTCAATTTCTTTCTTCTTCACAGTCAGTATCCTCAGCTTCAGAAGTGTTTTAACATACCTGGGTTGGTACTCCTGCTGCTTCTCAGGACAGGACGCTGTAGATAGGTCAACATTCCTCCCACTCTCTTTTTCCTGACCCTGAGCTCATCATGACGTAGCTCTGAAAACAGTGGTTATGGCAAAAAGTGTTTGGAAACTTGTAACTGATTCCTTTCTAGTGGTTAAGATGCAACAGGCTATTTCTGCAGTGGGTCCTGCCACAATACACCCAGCCCAGATGTCTCTGTGGCTGTAAACAGAATGCTCTCCTCTTATCCACTGCTATCCAGAAGATTGCAAAGACATTTTGGGAAGTAGTAAAGACCACAGGAAGCAGTAACATTAGGAGCATGGAAGAGGGGCACTTTGTTATTTGAAGCAGGAAAGATAATTCAACGAAAAGACAGTATGCTCTTACTCACCACTGAGGTAAGGGCCATCTGAAAACTATAAATGCGGGCAAGGCCAAAGTCAGCCAGTTTTATTTGTCCACTGCTGGTCACCAGAATATTCTGTGGTTTTAGATCACGGTGCACTACTCGGTGAGAGTGAAGAAAGTCCAGACCTTGGAGAAGCTGAAACATCATATCCTAAATAAAACCAAAACATGACATCAATAAACGCTCAAAACAGAAATTCAACACATGCCACATTTGACACTAAATTCTCAGCATTCTGTTAAGCCCTATGGCACAAAGCAGATGTTTGATAAATATTAATTGAATGAATGAATTTATCTCCCTATCTCTCCATTTTCCCATTCTCGAGAACATCATAAAATTTTTCTATCAACCTGTACTTCATTAATGAAAGGACAATTTAAAATAGCTTTCAATGGCACAGGAAATATTTTGGAAAGGTATATACCAAACTGGTTAATTCTGGGGAGGGCAAGTCAGAGGTGGCAAGAGGAGGATGTAATTCCCTTCACACACTTTTATATTATTTAATATGTTATTTCAACATTTAAAATCTGGTTAATATTAATAATATTGTTAAGGGTGATTATAATTTTAAATTCCTAATACTAAGCAGTCACTATGGGTCAAGCACTATTCTAAGTACCTTCCATTCAGTAATCCATTTAATCCACATCACAATGTTGAGGTGCATATCTTATTACCCATTCTACAAGTCAAGAAACTATACACAGAAGTAGGCTGAGTAACTAGCCCAAAGTCACAATACTAGCAAGAGACAGAGTCTTCATTCAAACCAGAGTCCAGAAAAACTGGATACAAATCTTCACTGCACTCCTTTATCAGACTGATGAATGAATAAGAATGTAAAGTGAAACAAGCCATTTAATCTCTCTGAGTCTCAGTGTTTCCATCTATAAAATGGAAAAGTAACAAAACCTACTTCATAGGGTCAATGTTTATAAAGCACTTAGCACAACAGTAAACATTCAATAAAGGACTGTTGTTATCTGTTATTATTGCTGGCATTATTAACCAGCAATGGAGCAGAGGAGCATTCTGAAAAATCAACCAAAATCAAAATTTTGCCAGGTGCAGTGGCACACGCCTGTAATCCCAGTGGCTTCGGAGGCTGAGACAGGAGGATCGCAAGTTCAAAGCCAGCGTCAGCAAAAGTGAAGCGCTAAGCAACTCAGTGAGACCCTGTCTTTAAATAAAATACAAAATAGGGTTGAGGATGTGGTTCAGTGCTGGAGTGCCCCTGAGTTCAATCACTGGTACTCTGCCACCGCAATTTTTTTTTTTAATTTTAGGTCCAAAAAATAAGATATAAGATGTAAAACTCAGAAATTGTGTCTTAAAGTAGGAACTTAGGACATTGACCAGATTATCATAACTCTCTGAAATCTGGATTTAGTGGCTTATGCCTCCTCCACCTGCCAAACACTGTGAGAATAGTGCACAAAGGGAAGATAAAGCTATTTTGTTAATACAAAGAGTAGAAAAATGACTAAACAGCATCCTGGACTTCAGAGGCGTCCAGGAGCTATGAGGTTGCCCTGTTCATCAGTTGGGTCACTAAATCCTTGCATCAAAAAGGGGTTATGGGTTATGGGATTCCACTTCTGGTTCTTCCTCTAGAATTCAAAGTTCTGTCTTTTCATCATACCTTGTTTAAAACCAAAGCCTTTGTTTTCCCATCTATCAAATGGAGAAAATAGCATTTACTTTTTGTAATAGTAGGAGGCTTAAATGAAGTAACATATGCAAAGCGGGAGTGCCGCTTCTGGCACACGGTATGTGTTCAGCAGATGGTAATTATTAGGATGATCACTACCATGGTAAGCATCCTGTTTCCTCGGGGAGACACACAAACACAGTGCTACAAAGTCAGTAGGAGCCAAGCATGCGATGATACAGGTGTGTGGGAATCACATTTGTGATCCCCCCGAATGAATCCTGTGAGTTTTCGGGGGATGCCTTCTAAGCTTCAAAAGGTGAAGACTCTGGAGAAGGCTGCAATGGCAAAGAGGGTCTTTCAAGACTTGAGAACCATGTACGGTCAAACAACTTGCCATGAGTAAACAGGAGTGTGAAAATGAAGCACAGAATGTTAAAGAAAGTCATCTGCTGTGGTAAATAAGTCTTTATTGGAAACACATGCACACAACTTGTAAGCACTGGATTTTAGAAAGCATGACTAACCTAAAGTAATGTCATGCTGGCTCATCATCTTTAGCTTCCTATATGCTAAGAATCACCCATTTAAAAAAGCACAGCGAACAAATCTGCTTGGCACATGATGCAGTTTTCAAACAATTTAAGCATCCAATTAGCAGTGTGAAAGTTAAAAAACTTGGAACTAATTTATTAAAAGATCCATCTAAATTTACAAAAGCCTGAATTACAGAAAATATAAAAGGTATCTACTGTTTTTGTGTATTTATTAACATAGCACATATTATACTTTCTTAATAATAAAATTCATAAATTGAACATATACTTGCTTAAAGCAGAAACCTATACATCAAGAGGAAGAAGAAAAGTCACTCAAAATTCCACAGTACTCAGAAACAGAAAAAACTTCACTGTTAAATAACAATTTCTGAGGTTTTTTCTATTCTGTGTTTTAAAAATCACATATGTTGTCATATTTGTATGACTAAATTAAATATATATTTAAATAAAAATGGTTATTCTAAACTCTTTATTTTGTCGCCTTTTAGAAATAACAATTTATTGTGAATATTTTCCTATTTCAATAAAATTCTTCAATGTAGAACTTGTTCATACAATGTGATTTTTAATGGCCACAGAGTTTTCCTGCTTGGGATATGCCAAAATCATTATCATTTGGTTTTAGTTGTGTTACTGTGGCATTTACACTATGGGTTTAGTTATCTTTTGTTTAAAGGCTGAAGTAGATTAAAATAACAAATATGGGTTAAGCAGTATGAGTCCACATGACTGCACTAACATTGATTCCACGTTAACAATACCTAGAGATACAAACTGTTTTTATATATAAGAATTACCATTATGAACCTGGTCCCAAGCAAGGATATAGGTCCCAATTCCAGAGAATGATATAAATGAATAAACTACATTAAACAAGTAAGAAAAAAACCACCTTTGCTTCAAATCACAAGAAGTGTTTTGATCAAACACAACTCAAAGGATTCTCTCCTTAAACTTGTTATCTGTTCTAACATCTCAATTTATGATATCATGAGACATACTTTAAATTAGCTCTTTGAGATTTTAATCTAAATTAATCTGTCCTATAGAAGACTCAAAATACTTCACAGTAGTCCAAGTGATGTAATGCAACGAAACTAGACATGATGCCAATTAAAGCTCTTTTAGTTAAATCCAGTTTTAGAACTTTTCCTTATTATGTTACCTAGCGCAGTTCCGGTACAAAAGGTTTGAACTTCTAGTCATACCTATGATAAGTCGTCACCCGGGGCCCTATCTTTCTAAAACACGTGACCCGGAGGCATGTTTCAACAGGACACCATTGTGAAGTCTCACTCTGAGCGACTTTCAAGGTGGGGCTTGGACCTTGGCAACTCTCCCCCGAAGCCCTGGATCTCAGTCTGAGTACTGGAAACCTTTAATGTCATAACTGTTTCTTTTAGGTGTTCTGAAGCGCTTATCCTCTTATTCCTCTAAAACCAAAACAAACAAGCAAACTGAAAACTGACCTTGAGCTCTTCTATGGGAAAAAGATTCATCATGAGAGTCTATTTTCCAACACATGACAAACATTAGTTCCTGAAGATGCTACGAACACCCAACTTATACCATGTAGTAAATTACAGAACTTTAAGGTGGACAATTCTGGATATTTTGAATATATCTAGTTAATCTGAGTAACACATTCAGATCGTCAAAGTTTTAGTTCCAAAAAATGTACCATAACTTCTCTATTAAAAAATTAAAAATAAGACATGCATAGCTTATAGACAAGGATAAACATTATTTTTGTCTCCTTATGACCTGTAAACCACAGTTTTTTCAAATTTGCTATTGAAGTTTTCACAGAAATAATTTCATAGTGTTTTGTTTGTTTCCTAAGAGGGGTGTAGAGGAGCCTACAGCCTAAAATATATAAAAGGTGGTTTTCATACTAAACTGATAACAATGTATTGAATTAAGGAAGAGGCCATGATTATAGAAACAGAGGTCACCTGAGCCTACACACAGATGATGGTGGTGAAGTCATAAAGAAAACAGAGAGCCACAGATAGCAGTGAGGGCCAGTCCCAGGATCTTTACTTCCCCTCTTAAAGATTACCAATACATATATTTGTAATTGTGGTAAAATATACATGACACATGATTTACCATCTTGGACTATTTTAAATTCATGTTTAGCATTAAGTGTATTCACATTGTTGTGCAACCAATTTCCAGAACTTTTTCATTTTGCAAAACTGAAATTCTTATGTCCATTAGACCATGATTTTTTCCATTTTTATCTCTATTAGCCCCTGGCAACCACTATTCTACTTTCTGTTTTTCTGAATCTGACTACTCTGTACCACATATATGTGGGACAATACCGTATTAGTCTTCTACAGTGGCTCATTTCACTTAGCAAAAAGTCCTCAAGTTTCATCCATGTTTGATGTGTCAGAAATTCCTTCTAAAGGCTGAATAATATTCCAGGTGTGTGTATAATATTTTGTTTATCTATTCATCCATTGATGGACATGAGTTATTTCTACTATGGACTATTATGAACAGTGTTGCTATGAACATGAGTAATCTCTTTGTAAACTTGTTTCCAATTCTTTTGGAGGAGTGTGTGTGTGTGTACATATCCATAAGATACACACACACACACACACACACACACAAACTCTCAGAAATAGAATTGTTGGATCTAGTCCCAGAATCTTTTAAAAGCATAGTTCTCCCATAAAATGTGGTAAAATATTGCTACCTATGCAATGAAACATTGAATACCAAAGCCATGTCAAGGTCCCAGAGGGTCAGCCAGGTGGGCTCACACACTCCCTGGAGATTTCACCCACTCCTTTCTCTCAGGGAGCATCTCTGCTGTGGCCACCAATCGAGCTTACTGCAGGTGCACACCTTCCACTGCTTCAAATCAGGACAGGAGGGCTCTACCCCTGATCAATTCACAGTGATAACAATGGCCT